AAAATTTTGTTCCAATAAAATTAATGATATTTATTTCTAATGTAACTAAAATTTATGTCGTCTCCGAAAATTGGACCAATAATTGTCTAACAACACTTTAAATATTACAGGTTCCAGGAGAATTGGAAAGAGTTAAACGTGGAAAAAGAGAGAATGCTGCTAAATTAAAAAGAACCGTACAACCTTATATAATTGTTGTAGGTCCACAACTCACTTCAATCGAAGCATTTTACATTATCATCGATAATGTAATGTATAAAATGGAAAATATACTGAAAGCCGTCGATATCTTGTACAAGATCTTTCACGTTTTCAACGTAAAGTATCCAATTGGCTGTGAGCAGGTATGGCTGTTTATACAGAAATATATTTATGGCCGAACAACAACGTGGGATAAGAACGATAAATCTGTGATGAATCTAATAGATGAATTAGAGGCAGTTAATGTATAGTATTTGTTAGTTACACATATAGTATTAACAGATTAATATGTATGTGGTTTGTTGTTAAGAAAAGATAAAACTGTATAGTTTTAACTTCAGCATTTACATAGTATTAATTTCTTTCTTTACGTGAAAAGGTTATGACTGTTATTTTATCGTTCAAGATGTTCCGTTGCCATTTATGTGAGACAAGATTCCAAAATATTGACCAGTTTATCCGTCATTTTTCTGTATTGCATAAATTTCAGACGTACGATCGTTACATATGTATGCAAACTGCTTGTAACCGCATTTTTCAAACTATCAAAGGTTTTAAAAGTCATTTGATTAAGAATCATGCGGAAGACAACCAATGTTTTTTCGATGCACGAATTCAGCCTACTGCTGATTTTTCAAGTACAGACGATAATGATAGCTGGGATTTCAATGTTTCTACTTCCAATTCTTCATTTGTAATTGAAGATGAATTTCTTTTGAATTTAGATAACATTGAAGAGAATCTTGTTCATTTTAAAGAACGATTACGACATGAAAGTGCAAAGTTCGCGTCTACTTTTTATAATGAAACGTCAATGAATAGGAGGCACGTACAAACAATAATCGATTCTACACGTACATTTATTAAAAATGTAATATTTTCATATCTAAAGCCAACTGTTTTATCTTTTCTTAACAACGTGGACGATAAGCGTAAAATAGAGGAAGTCTTAAACTTATTCGAAAACCCATTCGTATCATTCGACTCAGAGTACAAACGATTTAAATACTTTAAAGATCTGGGTACCTTAATAGAACCACAATCGTATATAATTGGTCAACAAAGTATTGGGAAAATGGTTGATTCAAATTATGTAATTGTACCTACAAATGTGACGGGTCAATATGTATCTGTAAAATTAGTTCTACAAAAATTATTTGGTATACCTAATTTCTTACAACAAATTTTAAATTACATGCAAAGCTTATTAATGGAATCGAATGGTATTTCGAATATAGTTCAGGCTGAATCGTACAAAATATTACAAGAAAAGTATCCAGACAGAATAATTATTCCTCTCATATTTTATTATGATGAGTTTGAGGTGAATGATCCACTTGGCTCTCACGCAGGCACTCATAAAATTGGTGCTGTGTATTATTCTTTGCCATGTATACCTCCAAATGTCCAGTCTCATCTGATCAATATACAAATTGCGTTATTATTTAACAGTAACGATCGAAAAGAGTTTGGAAATAGAAATACCTTTTTACCGCTTATAAAGGAATTACAATTTCTACATACTTATCCAGTATACACGACAAATGATAATATTGACATTTATGTGAATTGTCGTTTAATTGTAGCAGATAATCTTGGTCGCCATGAAATAGGTGGTTTTGTGGAGTCTTTTGTAGCCAATAAACCATGTTCAACGTGCCAAATATCTCGCAATGAATTATTGAGTGCGACTAACGAAAAACCTGAACTTTTACGTAACGCAGAAAATTATAAAGCTGATGTTGAAAAAAACGATGTTAGTACAACCGGAATAAATTCAGAATGTGTATTCAATGAAATAGAAGATTTTCATATTTTAGAAAACAGTGCTCTTGATATCATGCACGATATTTATGAAGGAGTTTGTGGATATGATTTATCTCAGATTTTGTTGCATTATATTGTAAATTTAAAGCTTTTTACACTTGAAGACCTGAATGATCGTGTCGGAGCTTTTGATTTTGGCGTAAGCGAATTAAGCAATCGAATTCCTTTTTTAAAAAGAGAAAAATTAAATAATCTTCATTTGGGTTTTTCTGCGGCTCAAGTAATACGTTTTACGAAATATTTTGGCCTTATTATTGGCGATTTTGTGCCTCATGATGATCCACATTGGGAACTATACCTTACTCTAAGAGCAATAATTGATATTCTAAACGCTAAATCTTTCTCATTGCAAGAAATAGAATACTTACAATGTTTGGTAACAGAACACCATGAAATCTACGTTAGATTATTTGGTAACACCTTAAAAACGAAACATCATAATATGTTACATTACGCACGCCTTATGCTTCGCGTAGGACCTCTGGTTCATGTTTGGTGCATGCGTTTCGAGGCGAAACACAAAGAGTCAAAGATAGAATCACATGTCGTAACTACTAGAAAAAATTTGCCGTTAACACTTGCGTTGAAACATCAATTAAGATTGAATCACAGATTACTTAATAACATTTCATTTACCGATGAAATAATATCGGGACCACATATTTCTATAGATTCAGTGTATTCTCATCCTCAATTTGATTCCTTTAAAAAATACTTACCACAAATTTACACTACTGTTTCATGGATTGAAGTCCAAAGCATTTTATTTAAGCCACAATTTGTGTTAAGTGTTGACGTAACGGACATTTTACCTGTTTTTGGTTTAATTCACTTTATTTGTTTTAATGAAGCAAAAGAACCGTTTTTTGTTTTACAAATATTAGAGACCCTTGGGTTTTCGAGACATTTATACGCTTATCGTGTTTCGTTTTCAAGTAAATGGAAGACTGTGAAATGTACTAATGCTAGTCAGTACAGCATTACTTCCTTAGTAAAGTCGGTTACTGCTGACTATTTTGTAATAGACGATATGTAATAAAACGATATCTAATAAAATTGTTTAGTGTCCTTTATATGTTTTTATTCAATATAACCAAAATTTTTAATTCAGTGTAGCAAAAGACTCAACTAAATTATTCTATACATTACAATACGTTTATTTGAACCAACTAAATATTTTGGTTACAGGAAGTAAACAGCGTCAATTAAATTTTTTGTTTATTCTTACCAAACATTTGGTTGATCCTATTTTAACCAAATTTTTTGGTTCAGTATACCAAATTTTGGTTTCGTCAACCAAATCTTTTTTTCAGTGT